GCCTGTGAGCCCCATTCACATGTGAGCAAACTGATCAGGGACCCCGGGTCTTTCCTGTAGCGCTGATGCCAGCAGTAACTTTCCTCCAGTGACTTCCATTCACTGCCCTGCTCTTCGCGCAGCCATTCTCATCTGGGTAACAGCACCTTTGCACAAAACCGTGGGATGTCCTACTTACTGCAGAACCTGAGAAGTTGGGGTGCTCGGTCACTGTCCTGTCTCTCCCTTCCCCCCTTTTTCTAAATCACAAATATCTGCATCGAACACTAATCTCGCTAGGAGCCAGGAACTCTCTCAACGCTCTTTCGACGTATTTATTCAGTAATACAACAACCCTGAGAGAAATATTACTGCTTCCTGAGTTGAGAATGCATGGACGCCACGAGGTTAAGGAACTTTCCGGGTACACAGTAAAAGGCAGGATGAGGATTTGAATCCAGATGTCTACATCCCTATTCAGGCTTCGTCTTACTTGACATGACAGAGCATGTACTTCGCATCACACCTTTGTTCTCAACAATCCTTTCTTCACTTGGATTTCCATCCACCTCCTGCTCCTGGCTGTTCTCGAACTTTCCAACTGTTCCAGTTCATTCTCCACTATGGCTCCTTCCTTGTCTCCCTGACTTCCAAGAGCTGGAGTGACCCAGAGATCCTTCTGAAGTAGGTCCTTGGACCTACTTTCTATCCTCCACTCATAGATGATCTCACCTGATTCCACAGCTTCAATGTCACCTCTAGGCCGATAGCATCCCAACTAGTATCTCCTGCCTGGAACTCTCCCAGGAAATTGCAGCTCCTGGAACCAACTGTCCGCTCAGCCTCTCTGGGCTCATGTGGCTATCTGCTGGGCATCTCAAAATCAGCAAAGCCGACAGCAGAGCTCCTGGTCCTCCCCAAATCTGCTCTTCCCCATCTGAGCTAATAGGTCTATTCTTCTAGCTGCACAGACTAGAAAACTGGATGTCATCCCTGACTCCTTATTTTTTCCCTCATTTCCAGATGCATCCCATGCATCTGGAAAGTAGATCCAAGATATGTGCTCTTCACCACCCCTGGTCCACCACTGCTCCCTCTTGCCCAGAAGGTGCGCTGGTTTCTGACTGGTCTCCCCACTTTGCCCCATGAGCTTTCTGCTGACCAGAGTGAGGTCAAAGCTGAGCAGGGCCTTGCCTCCAACGCAACATGTAAGGGCATCGAAAAACTTAGGAATCAAGACAAGGAGTGTTTTCACACAGTGTTTTTTTCAAATCAGAATCCGTGCCAAAAATATCCTAATGAACAAAATAGCCAATTCTTGCACAAAAACAGAACTAGAGTGTCGGCATCAATCCCCTCCTTCCCAACCCTTCTCGACTCTCTTCAGTGGTAGCATCTTGTTGATCCCCCAGCTTCCCATCTCAGAGCAAAAACCAAAGTCCTCACCTTGACCTGCAAGATCCTTTATGGCCTGGGCTATCATTATCTCTCTGCTAACTCCCACTTCTGACCTCATTCACTCAGCTCCATGCCCTCCACACAGGCCGGCTCCCTGCTCCATCAAGGAGCTCCCACCTCAGGGGCTTAGGCTTGCAGGCTCTCTGCCCAGAATGGTCTCCCCTAGACACATGCCTCACGTCACCGGGTCTCCTCCCAAATCCACCCCCCTGGGATCACACTATCTATCATTTCACTCCCTCCTCCCACACACACACTTCATATTCCTTTTCTCTTCATTTTTTTTTTTCTCCTCAGGAACTATCTTTAGCACCTGCACATTTTACTAGTTTACAGTCTTTCTCACCCACTAGAAAACCTGTGAGATTTTGGGGAGAGGGGTTTGTTTTGTTCTCTGCTATTTTCCTAGTATCTCACAAAATTCTTGAATGACAGTAGGTACTCAGCAAATATTTTAATGAATAAGTGATACTTATTGAGAAGTATATTCGAATACTTACTACTCATGGGTGCTCTCCTTCAGTGCCAATGTTCCTAATGCCTACTTTGTATTCGTTTTGAATCCTACTGCCTCCATAAATTACACTGGGAATGACTCTTTCAAAAGGCAGTGGTCTTGGATCTGAACAATTTTTGGATATTAGAAAATGTATTGCACAATCTTTCTTCTAAATGGACCAAATTTAACAGAAGTTTGACTTGCTTAAAAAAATATTTATCTGGGATCCAAGTTCATCCCTCAGATCAAATCAATGTTGGGAGAGGGGATTGTTTTTGAGAACTAAACATTGAAGATGAGGTGTTTCTTGTAACAAATTCTGAATTTTATTTCTATTCCCTGACTTCTAATGACTTGACGCTATGTCAAGATGTTGTTGAGATTTTTCTCAGCAATGTCAGAGTGAGTTTCTTTGATCAAAAGACCTTTCTGATGTGAAAGTGTCTTCAGGTCCCTGTACTAATCATTAACCAAAACTAAAGGTAGGTCTTGCATAAAACTTGTTGTTTCACCATGAACTGTTACGTTTTGATGGAAAAGATGAAGCTCAGCAAAGAGTAAAACTACAACTTGGCCAAAAAAAACAAGAGACTTTGCCTCCAAACATCTGGGAGACACTTGATGACCAAAATGACTAAGCTCACCAGATCCCAGTTCACTGGTGGCCTCCCTGCTTCTGCAGATTAAATCCATAAAGGGGCACCGGGTAGGGGGGCAGGGGAGGGTGGTGTTGAGAGTGTCCTGATGAAAAGACAATTTTAGTAACATCTGGAGAAAGTGCAAGAGTTACGTTTTGTCCTAAAGGCTCGTTTTCTTCGGAAATCCTCCAAACGCCTTTTGTAGTTTTACTTTTTTAAGAGGATTTATATGGTCTCATAGAGATTTCTAGAACTGTAGTCAGCAGCCAGTTAGCCTTATAAGCTGAACACAGCTTTCCTCCCCCCCCCCCGCCACCCTGTAGCATCCCTAGGAAGATGGTTTACACTGCAAAGTTGTCAGGGAAGCTACAAGTCCCCACCTAGATGTTAGAGGTCTATCCAATCACACTATCTAAAAAATGGCTTCAAATTTGTCTTAGCCAAGATACAAAGTTAGGATTAGAGAAAGAAAGAAAGAAAGAAAGAAAGAAAGAAAGAAAGAAAGAAAGAATTGAAAACGATTGATTGAAGGATTGAAAACAAGCTTGCTCATTGCCTTTTGCAAAGGACAGCAACAGAAACTGGTACATTAACTTAATAGACATTCCCTAACAAACAGTGCCTTAAAACAAGGCAGAGGGCAAAAGGGGCCAGCTGGCACGGACTTAGTACCACTTGAGAGAATGATTGAGTAAGAGTGGAGCTGGCCAGGGCTGGAAGCAGGCAAGAATTACTAGAACAATCAAGGGCAGGAATGGCCATGCTTACATGGGAGGCATGAAATTTTTCTGTCCCGGTAACAGCTGATGAGTTGTCCCTCTGAAATCTCATTTTTCTCTTGTCCTCTATATTTTATTGGAAGTATTTACTTTCTAGACAATGCTAGATGCTGCTTGCCTATGCATTTGTTTATTAGTTATTACCTTAATAGAAGACTTTGAATCTCTTATTGACATGATCACCCCAGCTTCACTTTTCACTTTTTTACATGTTTCCTACACTATTAATGGCCCATTCATTCTGAATCTTTAAATGACCACCAGAGGTAGTGTAGGAAAGCTCAAGGCATAACACAGAAAAGTCTTAAAAGGGCCTATGTTGAAAGGCATTCAATCTGCATGTGATTCAGATCACTGCGAAACACCCTTCTTCGGTCTCGGCTGGCAGAGTGGAAGCCCAGCACAGAACCTTCCGGAGCCCTGACACTAAGTGATGTCAGTGTAAGCCCCTCTGGACATGGGAGCCCCCAGAGCCTCCCGCCACCACAGCCTGGACCACTCGGGATGGCCACACCCTCGCCCCATGAACCTCTAGGTAGGAACAATTATCCCATTTGCAATGGGGTTCAAATCATGTTCCCAAATAAAAGGTACAGATGAGAAAGTGCTGAAATTGCATCTTTATATCTACATAAGCATGGAGATGTGTAAACTTGTAGAATTCCTTACATTTTTTTTTTATTTTTATTTTTTTTAAAGATTTTATTTATTTATTTGACAGAGAGAGATCACAAGTAGACAGAGAGGCAGGCAGAGAGAGAGAGAGGGAAGCAGGCTCCCTGCT